ACACTAAAATGGACAATGGCCCATTAAATATCAACAGTAAAATACACGTGATTATGTTTTAAAGATTAAAGGACATTAAAATGGACAATGGCCCATTAAATATCAACAGTAAAATACACGTGATTATGTTTTAAAGATTAAAGGACATTAAAATGGACAATGGCCCATTAAATATCAACAGTAAAATACACGTGATTATGTTTTAAAGATTAAAGGACATTAAAATGGACAATGGCCCATTAAATATCAACAGTAAAATACACGTGATTATGTTTTAAAGATTAAAGGACATTAAAATGGACAATGGCCCATTAAATATCAACAGTAAAATGCACGTGATTATGTTTAAAATATTAAAGGACATTAAAATGGACAATGGCCCATTAAATATCAACAGTAAAATGCATGTGATTATGTTTAAAAGATTAAATTGATACCCTTATTTTGCATAAATATCTACAGTCTATTAATAACGGATTTAATGTGTAGGGAATACTATAAAGAATGTGCATGTGTAATATCAATGTATGAAATATCTAAACCAGCATGCGATGAAAGGAAGCTCTATTTAAATCACACTTTTCAAACTTAATTATCGATTAATAAACTGAACCTTCTGTTATTACTCCACTTTTATGTTTTCACCTTCGAGTTTGATGACTTTCGGATTATAAATGGCCAATAATTCTACTCGTTAGTCAGAAGGATTGTAATCTCGATGATAAAAACGTTTAAACCACGATCGTTGCAAAAAAATGTAATGTCCGTTAATAAATATACTAATCCTTATCAAGCATGACACTGCGATATCTAAACCGAGCGTCGTTAATCGTATTATTACTATTACGTGTATCATTTTCTTAATAGCGTTACAAAAAGTATTTTACGCAAATCCACGACGTCACACAGTGGTTCGAAACTGCCTTTTGGTGGAAAAAATTTTACAAAAGTTGGTATTCTTGAGTTTTTAAGGTCGCTAATTTCATGTCTGAAGTAAAAATTCAATAATTTCCATTGAAATAACGAGAAATTGAAAAATATTTCGTTTGCAATAATACTTTTTTGTGAATAAAAGATAGCATAAATGAAGCACATAGTTGCCCGTGACTTAGAAAATGCATATTACAAATTTACATAGGATATAAGAAACAGAATAATTCCACTTATAATTATATATCCGTATTTAATGTTGATCTTCGATGACTAATCATATTACATCCTCATGTCAATCAAAAATCTTCTTTTTCAGCTCTGTTCTTATGATACTTTATAATAAATTTTCAATTATGTATATCGAAAAATTGTTACTCTGAGATAT